AACATTACAAATTCTTCGTCAATTCAGCCATAGCGGAAATTCTAAGTTTCTGAATTAGATTGTTTGTTTGAAAACCAGTTTTTGCTGGTACCCACAAGGGCTTTGGAACCAATATATAATAAATTGTATGAATAAATCAAAACCCCGTGGGGCACGCGACATTCAAGATCTAGTTGCAAGCACATGTTATAAAACATTGTAAAATAGCCTCAAGACCAGAACTGCATATTGCTTGGGCTTCCAGCCCAGTTTGCTCAACAGTTCGTGGCCTACTTACCTAACTTAAAACCTTAGTGCAATGCTTGCAACAACTAAAATCCTATTCTATAACTAAGTTACCCTATTACGTATAATCTAGAAGAGTGATGCAAAAAGTCAACTGATAACGCAACACAGTCTAATCATACTCTTATCAGTAGTTCCTCTAACCTCTGTTCTCAGTTATACAAAAAGTTTTAACTCCATGAAATTAATGTCACACACAAATGCTTGACTTTCTCAAATAATTAGTCACTCAGCGACACAAACTTTATTGTTTTTTATGTAATATTTCTTGCTCGGGTCCTTCTTGATTCCCTCTTTCATTTCCTGTACGAGCTTTTGGCGAGAGATTCGCTCATCCTGCGACCTGTCTGGAGATAAGTAGAGTTTGTTGTAGTTGAAATTGTAGTCTGCCACATCAACCGATTTCAAGACTTTTGCTCTGCTCAGAAATTCACGTACAATTTCAGGATCTCGCAAAGTAACTTTTATCGGCCGTGATCGAGGGCTGTCAGACTTCTTTACTCCCACTCTCTCAATGTTTGTTATAGTCGGCCTTCCAATGAACTTCATAAAACCCCAAATATCACCCACGAGATCCCGTTCGTTCATTTCTTGCTTTTCACATTCGAGCTGTTCTGGGGCCCCGAAGATGATAAAGTTTTTCGACCGATCATCTTCTGTAATCGCCGATTTCACAGCCATTTTGATTTTAGCTGGAGAGATATCAGAAGCTACGCTGTTATTCTTCACAACATCTGTAAACAGTTTCATTTCTGTTTTCACTGTCTCCTTCACTGAAGCTAGTTTACCAGATTTGCATTGGATGAGCTCGTTCTGAGTTTTTATCTGTTCTGATTTTTGTTGGTCAAGCGTCTCTGCTGCTGATCTCAAAACATTTCTCGATTTACATATCATAGACCCCATCTTCCAAACTATTTCGGTTATTACATCCTTTGTAACGCCTTTTGGCTTGAACAAGTCATGAGTGAGGTCCTCTAGTTTCCTGCAATTAAGATTCGCTAAAACCGAGTCTGATAAGTCCTCAATCTGTTTCTCCAGTTCGTGAAGTGTACTGACCGAAAATTCCATATTGTGTATACTTCGTGTATAGCAAAGCTGCACAGTAAAAGGCAGTGCAATTACCTATTTACTGATAAGAGACAACTGATATCAACTCACAAGCGAAAAGATTGATTGCACACTGAAAGATTGTGAATGCTGATTACTGACATGAATTTGGGCCACGAACTTGGTCTCGCTTTGCATCATGACTAACATTGATTAATCTTTTAGGGACTTTACTATTTCTTCAATGGATGTTCTCTGCGAAGATGATTCGAACTTCTATCAAGCTTGCGGTGCCAAAGGAGTCATCGGACTGGATATGCAGTTAGATCTTGGCGATTCCATGATGATGACCGGCAATCCTGGTGAGATTTAAGCCCTTTTGTGAGCATCATGCATGACATTATTTGAACAAAACCATCAAATCGATATATACAAAAAAATTTTTAATTGCTTTTTTGACTATCCTCCTTCTACCTTTATTTCAAAGTGCAAATTATATATTTCCCGAAGAATAAATTCAATCATTGAATATTAGTTTATAACTTGTCAGGTGATTACCCGTGCGGATACATTTGCTCAACGAGGAACGCCATCTACCACATTCCAGACTTTAGGTATACCCTTTTTTTTGGAATAGCTTTTTCTACATGCGATGGAATTAATGATTGTCTTAACACTGATTTAGATGAGAGATTCTGTGCAGGGAAAGGTTCTAAACTATGTGATTTAAAGTGTAACGACGAGTATTTTAGTTGTGAAGATGAGAGTTTATGTAATGGATATAGTTATGGCATCTGGTGTAAATCGGGGAAATACTGGCCTCCCTACCTAATCTGCAATAATCTTAACAATTGTTTGGAAGAGTCAATGGATTGCTCAATTAATGAAAATTCTACAACCTGCTTCAATTTACGCACGGGAAACATTGAGCCCCTTTATAATGTTTCCAGGTGTGGTACCCGCTTTGAAGGTACATTAACTAGCTCTACCTTGCGAGCTTTTGACTTTTGCGATGATTTCATGGATCAAACAAACTGCTCGGACCCTTTGAGAGTTGGTGTTATTTGCCCAGTAAAAAGTTACATGTCAACTGTAGCCAAACAGATTATCTGTAATAGTGGGTCTGGGTTTGTAAATGGCGAAGCTCCAAAAATTCCTCAAATTTGTGATGATGGACTTGACAAAGCCTGTGTTCAGGTCAGTCTGTCTTGTTTTATTCACAAACACGCTATGTGTGATGGTGAAGCAGACTGCGAGGACTTCAGTGACGAAATGCACGAAAAGTGTCATCAAATGACTAATAAAACATGTCATCGGAGGTATGTAAAGAATGCGGTTAAAGATCAAATTCCAATTCCATTGGAATGGATTGTTGACGGGGTCAATGACTGCCTGGATGGTGAAGATGAAATAGACAATTGGCCTACCTGTGGACAGGGAGTTACAGCTCGATATGTTAGAGATAACAGTCATTGTAAGGAAGTATTTCTGTGCTATAACATCTACCAACAGTTCATTGAGTTCGCTAACCTATGCGATAAAAAAGAATCTTGTCATAATGAAAACAAAATCTGTTTCCTGTCGAGGCAAACAATCACACCGGTCACTACAGCTCTAAGAGATGAAATAGGCAGAGTGAGGCTTTCCTATTGTTTGAAGGGATTGAAGGGAATTGAGTACTTGAAAAATAGCACATGTTCTCCAAAATTTTTCCAATATTCGAAAACAACTTTCGGCAGAAACAAAACATTTGAAGTTATTGTACCAGATGGCAAAAGCGAATGTAAACACGTTTATGGAGAGCACTATTTTTTTCTAAGTTGTCTTGGTCTATGCAGTAATAACGCTATAATCTGCCCCTTTACTAGACAGATATTATGGAACTCATGCCCAGGACAATTTGAAAACAAAAGAGTGTTCACTAAAGGTAGCAATGGTGAACTTACTTTCCTGCTCAGAGATCACAGGACAGGTGAATTAGGTGATGCCCTTTTTCGATGTGAAAATAACAAGTGTGTCACATATGATAAAATATGCAACCTGGTTGATGATTGTGGGGATTCTTCGGATGAATCTTTTTGCTTCAACCATTATCAATGTGAAATATCTAAAGAATATCTGTCAATAACGCAAAAGTGTGATGGAATTATTCACTGCTCTGACATGTCAGATGAATGTAATGATATTTGTGGGCAGAGAATAATTGGCAACAGTTTTCTTCAGGTCGTAGCGTGGGTTGTCGGGATTTCTGCGATCATTCTCAATTCGATATCTTTCTTCAATAACATATTTACCATAGCGAAATGTAAATCAGAACCGGCCCTCCTGAACAATGGTCTCATCGCTTTGATAAGCTTAGGAGACATTTTAATGGGAATATATCTCGCAGTGATTGCAGTTCATGACCGTTACCATGGTACAAAGTACTGCCTCAAAAAGTTTGAGTGGATTTTGAGTGGAACTTGTGTTGCCCTTGGTGTCATAAGTACGACGGCTTCTCAAGTATCTCTATTTTCCATTACCTTCTTGAGTTTACTTAGATTGTCAGGAATTAAAAACGATTTTGTGATTCCAAAAAGAGTAAACAAGGGAAGCACACGAAAATTGCTGTTTTTGGTAGTGATAGTGATGTTCTTGGCTCTGATAACCTCGTTGACACCTCTAGTGATCGGACTAGAAGACTTCTTCATCAATGGGGTAAGGTTTGAAGCATCAAACACATTATTTCATGGATGTCCGAACAAGAAAATTCTACAGTCTATACTGCATGAATACTATGGCAGGATAAGGATGGATGACCTGAAATGGGCACAGATAGACACTTTGGTTAAGCCCATGTTTTCACACGATTATGGTGGAATTTCATACAAGCGCCAGTCATTTTACGGTAACGATGCTGTCTGCTTGTTTAAGTATTTTGTGACCAAAGATGACCCTCAAGGAAGTTTTGTTTTCACTCTACTCTGTTTAAACTTTATATGCTTTATCACAATAAGTCTTTCGTATAGTGCGATAGTGATAAAAACTAGAAAATCAGCCAAAAGAGTCGCCATGAACAACACGGACAAAACAGCTAAGAAAATGAATGCTAAACTTCATCGAATAACCATCTGGATCACTGTCACTGATTTTGTGTGTTGGGTACCATTTATTGTAGTCTGCTGCTTTCATTATTTAGACATTTTGGATGCGACAGAATGGTACTCCTTTTTCTCAATCTTAGTCCTTCCCATCAACTCTATCATAAATCCTATCCTTTATGACCGTTCTTTGCAAACATTTATTTATTCAATATTTTCCAAAATAAAGACAGGTATGATGAAGCTGGTGTCGCTCATCAAGTTAAGACGATCGAATAATGTACAGAATAATGCAGAAATTATTGAAAATCCTGGGATAGAACTACAAGAAATAAAGCCCACTTCAGATCAGACTGCAGTTGGAATTACTCCTGAACCGAAACCGGACGAAAAAGCTAAAACGGAACAAAATATATTAGAAGTGGATGTACATGTCGTAGTTTCAGAAGAACCGGCGATACAGGAGGATAAACTTTAACTGCAGTATCAATTTAAAGATTTTTATTACAATGGCTCAATGAGCAATTACAAAGAGACAACCTGAATATCTCTAAATGTGGATTAGACCAAATAAGAAATCGTACTCACAGCTCCACTCGGAAAGATCAGATCTCATCCTATCTAAATCTTTAGCAGTACTGTTGTTTGTGGTGCTGAAGTCTTGTCTGATGGAATTAACCGATCGCCAGACTGCCAGTAACTTGGCTGACTCACTGGCACTACCTTGACGTTGGATTTCCATCATTGTCTCCCTCGCTTCAACCTCTTTTTCCTGGAGATGGAGTTTTGGTTAAGAGAGCTCGCTTAAACTTGAACGTTTTGTTAGTAGTTGTTTAGCAAGTTAAGACAAAATGTATAAATAATAGCATTAACATCCGTATTTAAAATCATTGTTTTACATATAACATACAATTGTTTATTTCTTCTCCGACCAAAAAACTCCAACTAACCTGAAGTTGTTCACGAGCTGCAGTCCAATCTGCAGTCAAGGTTCTTATATCAGCGTGTAAATGTGCGTTCTCGGATTTCTCTTGATCTAACTGTGATCTCAATTTGTTTCCCTGTTGGGTCATCTGTAGAACTCTGAGAATAGAAATAAAGTGAGCAGAAATTCCAAACTTTTATGAAAAATTGTATCTTCATTTGCAGGCGAACCCTACATTTCTCATGGATTTAACTTCCATACGAACAAAATGTGTGGGATATGTAACCAATAATAAAACTCACGAACTTTAACTGCAATAGAAAATGAACCGATGGATAAATTTGTCTTACTTGGTCGATTCTTCCTCGTATTTATCTTGCATCATGGCAAGCTCGTTCTGTAAATTCCGTTCTGTTTCCCTCAATCTGTTTTCTGCTGCCTGTAGCTGCTGTTCCAGCGTCTCAGTCGTGCTTCCCAACTGCAATTAACAAATCTATAAGTTATTCACTACATAACAGGCATTTTTGCGTTAAAATGCTGATTATTCATTCATCAAGTGGTCCAATTAATTTATACACGTGAAGCCCACGTTTTATGATGCGCGTGCAGTACTTTATGTCTTAGAGAAGACACACATTAAAAAGTTGCAGCACAAATATGTCTTTTTCGCGCGTTCCGTTGAGACGATTTATCAAACTCTATCGCTGAGATCTTTTATAGCCACATCGTTATACTATGTGAATTCGTTTAAAGCTATTATTTCAATGAATAATCGGAAGATGTACCCATTATAGTGTAGTTCCATAGAAATACCCGAAACGGCTTCAACTGTCAGATAATGACAATTTGACACTAGCGCTCGACTATAACTACATTTATAATCATAAAAAACACGCATGTTAACTAACGCTCAACCTGCCATGTGAAGCAAAAAGACCATTCTCTGTAGCTTAGCCGAATTCACAGTTAAATTTCACACTCAATAGTTATATTTTAAAAGATGAATTCCTCTGTGACCCTGTGAAGAGTTACACAGCAGTACACTGCATGCTCAATGCTCAGGATCATGTATTTATTACATGGCAGTTTTACATGCACAGGGCAACCGTTTGTCTACAAATTCAAGTATTGCTTAGTGGTGTGAGATTGCCTTTGGATTTCATGGTTGGTAATTGCAACACATGCTTCGTGTGTTTTTATGTTTTTATTCAATTTAGTAGGACTTTTCATCTTAATCTTTTGAAGGGAAATTACAAATTTGAAGTAATCAATATTGCATATTGATATTGATTTGACTGATATTGAATATTTTAAAGTTATTCTTTTTTTTTAACTCATGGTTAAGGTGGACAAAGGGAATAAAAAAGGGGAAATGTCTGTCTAACCCTGCCTTAAATAATCTTGTACTCGTTCATGTTGCACTATTCTGTTGATGTACAATATGGATCAATTTATAAAGTTATAAGCACAAAAAAGATTATGACTTTAAGTAGTGTGAGACTATAAGCACCAAGAAACTTACAAAGTATTTATTTAAGGAAGTTTATAAAGGGAATTTATAAAGGGACTTACAGAATATCCCAACGAACTGGGAACCATCATTACTTATGCTTACTAAATCATAATTTATTTTAAAATCATACGAGTTATATTATCAAAGTAATTTGTAAAGTTACCATGTAACCATGGTAACCACTGTAAGCCGTGTCCCCACATAAATTGATAGGAGTGTTGACACCCTCTCGTTACAGCAGATGCAATATACAGTTGCCATGGCAACTAAACTACTTCATTTGTTACAGTGCTGATAAAGTGTTAAATTGAATTACGGGCGATTTGTCGAGTCATTTAAGCTGAATGATAATTTGAGTATTTGATTTGATGTCCGTGGATAAATACATGTTGTGACCTTGTTCAGCTCGTAGGAAAGTTTAAGGCGTAAGACGAACGAGATAAGAATTAGAAAGATAACGTTTAAATAAAATCATAATGATAACTGGGACAGTGCAATGAAAGAAGCTTGATCAACCAAAACGTTTAAAACATTTTTTAGAATTTGTAATATACCTCGATAAGAGCATTAGATAAGCCAAGAAAAAAAAGGGGTGGAGCGTTCGCCAACCAAATTTTCATTAATATCACTTAATCACTTAGCACTGCCTTGTTGAACGTGCTCATAATTCTCATTACCATACTTTGTAAATCTTTACCCAAACTCACTAAATATGATGCTTACTTGCTGACTTCAACAGCAGATAAAAAATATACAACAACAGAGATTAATGATTTCTAAATTCATGATCGGGATAATTGTAAACAGAACTTCATGATCCAAATTCTTCAATATAATTATCATTATTATCTTACCCTTTCCAAACACCATCTTCCACCCACTAAAGATTAACTAAACCCCATTACATGTCACTAAGAAGGGGAGGCCGTGCACAATGACTTGTCAAGACTGGAGTCTTAGTTCACCACATTACAGGTATTCCCTTACCAGTAATAACCGGCATGCAACGCAACGGAGGTAACCATGGCAACGGACTCATCGGCTCAGTATTTGAAAGTGCAACCCACTCTTTTTTGTTGGGGGCAGCAAGTCACACAGGTGCAAGTAATTACAGTGCTCAGCAGTGTTCTATATATATATATAATATGGATCAGTATGCACTATTTCACGTAAATACAGAAAAAACAAGCTTGTACTCAGCATGCTTTACTTTATGATTAACGATCTGTAAGGGTGATCGTGCTTTATAATTAGTTTGTAGGATATCTAAGGAGCATAGGCGAACGGAATATAATCATCAACATTTATTTACTTTATTGATAATTATCTCTGCTACAGACAAATATACTGCACTTTCTTCACCGGGTGCAAGATTTCGGGTTAGCAGGTGTAAATTATAATGAGAATTCAGAGGAGTGGGTCTCAAGAGAGTAATTTAGGACATAACTTATGGGATAATCTACCCTAACAAATCAGGAGGTAGCTCTGATGAAATGCATGGTGTTTTACGTAGAAATAAAAATTTTTGAGATTTGAAACTTAATCAGATGAACTCTCCGAGCATGCAGCTGGAGCAGTGCAGAATGGTGACCATCATTATTCTTTGACGTGGTAAAGAATGTACTCATTGTTGTTTTGTCTTCTCTCCTAAGACTGAAGATTGTGGTTTTACTAACACCACAATAAACGACAATACTGTGAAGTAACAGGGAGGGGAGTTTTAAAGGAGGGGGAGGATCAGGATTAGGAGGAGGAGGAGGAGGAGGATCAGGATCAGGATTAGGAGGAGGAGGAGTATGAAAGTATAATATTCTTTATGCAGTCCTGCAGTAATATTAAAATTGTCTAACATAATTAGGGTGTTGGAGAAATCGTGCGGTCTACTGTGGGGCTCTAGTGTAGCATTGGTAAAGTTCAAGGGAAGTTAAAAGTTATCATTTACCGTTTCCATGGCAGAAGCGCTGAAGAGGTGATAACAAATAATTGGTGTGAATTTGTTGCGATGGTAACAGGCATAAAACAAAAGAGAGACTTTGGTTAAGGACCATTGTGAGAGTTTGGACAATGCCTGGTTCAGACTCAAGACTTCAGCTAACAGTTTTTGTTGTTTATCTATTTAAACAGTTACAAGAATATAAATAGGACATGTAGATGATCATAGATACTACAGGAATAGTGTTCAATTTTGGTAAACTTTCCAATTCCCATACCTACAAGATAGAACGTTAGTGATCATCAATCATCGAACAAGAATTTGCGCTCACCCTTCTTATAAATACTGTTATTTGTAAGCAATACGTTGGAAGCTTTGTTGTGGCAGTTTATTTCAGGGGGCGTTACCATGGTTACCGCTTTCCGAGCAGGCACTTTACCCGGTCGATGGTTCTAAAATCTCAAAGCTTCCAGGCAAGTAAACATAATGTTGATTTAATACTGTTCATTTAATGCTATCTAAAATCTCCCGTATGCTATCTAAAATAAAACATATCACTCATCAACTCACATTAGATGAGCTGGAAATAGAACACTGTATGTAATAATACATGACACGTGGACATATCACAAGCAATACAGCTCCGCAAGCAATACTGCTCCACATGTCCCGTTCATTTAGGCTACTTGTTCTGCTAATGCATGTGATCAGTCACACATTTCTCTCCGTTCCCATGGTGATTCCAGATAAGTTTAAATATTGAAATTTGATAAAGGAATATGGGTTTGAAAGGTTTTGAAAGTTGGAAGGTTACCACCATGATATTGTTTCAATTTAGAGAATGTCTTGTTTCATTAGCATGCAGGTAGATATGAGATATAGCTGTCTTAAACAACTATATTCCATTAACATCTGTATATTAGAATCGCGGAGGCCTTCAATTCTCTGATTGAGAAAATTCGAGCGGGAGAAAAATTGGATTGAATTGCGAGTGGATTATACTGTTTTGGATTACTATTTCTGACAGAATAGGCAAGAATTAACTATATATTATAGTTAATAAATTATATAGTTAACATAAGTTATTATAACTGAATTACTTAAAATATTATTAATAAGTTGTATATATTTGTACCCACCTCTTCCTTAGCATCCTCAAGTTCGTTGTTCTTCCCCGCTATCGCATGTTCTAACTCTAATATCCTACGTTTCTGTTCTAATATCTGAAATTTCATTTGTCATTTTAAATATAAAGATGGAATGTTCGGATGAAAATAAACAGGTTCCCAAATAGTGGACAGTTACGAGTTTATTAATAAACCCTTTTATAATCAAGATTCAAGGTAATGGTAAGAAAGTGACGCAAGAGAGTTTTGACACTTGACAAGGACAGCAATTTGCCAACTATCAGTATCGATCAACGAATTCCTAGAATTCCTATCACATCTCAAAGCAAACTTTTGGTTACCACCCCACTATAAAGTCATCTCCCCACTATCAAGCCACGTTCATGAAACTAATACATTGCACAACGGTTAAAGTCATCAAATGGATCTGTCCGAATTCGAGGTTGTTTGAAGGGTGAGCTAATATTCAGGTAGGCCTCTGGAATTATAACAATGTTGGTATGACTGGACTGCGCCGTATGCATCGCACGACATAGTGTCATTCTATGCCATGACTTTGTAGCAGATCGCAGTTTCATTGCTTCCAATCGTCGAATATTTCCGTGCAAATTTGCCAAATAGAAGCAAGAAATGGAGCACGACCGTTCTTTGTATGCACTACCTAGAATCTAAATACCTAGCAGCTATTTTTTGTGAATATTATGTCACACGTGGTACACCCAAAGTTGCCGCCTTAAATTCCAGTTTGTAACTTTGTTAGAGTATAATTACTGTAAATATAAAATGCAACTTGAGGGTTTTCGAGTTGTAAGTGCGGTCAAACTGGACAATTAGGTTGTGGGCCTAACCCCTAATGCATCCATTAACGTAGCTATTGAGTTACAACTAATTGGTATAATATGACACCTGGTTGAATTTTGATACGAACAATTCTGATGATAGAACTTTAGAGACAGAATTCATATAGATTTAACAATCATTTGGTGCCTATGAATAAAACACACTCGGATTCATTGAGAAAATATGCTTCAGCAAATTGTAATGCATCAATCTTTCTACCTGCTGTTCCAAAAATCACTCAAACATAGATATCAAGATCTTGTCACTGTATGCGTTATATCGTTAACTATAATTCATTAATCCCGTGCGTTATTTATCCCAAAAGGGAATTTCATGCACTGAACCTAGCTTCTATCATGCAGCGAATCAGGTTGTCCACTCCTATTATATTGTGCCTGGGTTACTGAGATACTGGGCAGGAAGACGGTCACAAATAAAACTATTTCTAGATGGAACAGAAGCTGTAATCTCAAACAATCAGGTGCTCTCAAGGTGATCAGACTGTTGTGTGTTTAATTATTACGTATTTAACCTCTGATACTGAAGGGCGATTGTGAAGGGTAACTGTGGTGGTTTCAGTTTGCCGAGGTGGTTTCTGGGGAGCCGCTTGTTCGGTGGTTGAGAAAACTTCGTGTTTCTCTGGATCAATATTCAGGCTTAAGAAACTGCCAGCAGTGTAGGTGATAAGGGACGAGGTAGAAGTGTGAACTTCTTTTGATTTTGGTGGGTTGCACTGCTCCATAAGCGAAGTTTGAACTACTTTAGAGAAATTGTTTATGTTGTTAAGTGTGAGGGTTGAAAGTTGTTGATCGGATTTTTTACGTCGCGTAGTAAAAGATGATGATTTTTCATCCTCTCTAGAAAAAGTGAGGGATGTAGATCGTAATCTAGGACCCTTCGATGATGAAATTTGATTTCGGTCACTGTCCATGCTGCGATGTGAGGTTATTGGGGGTATGGTTCTTCGAGGAAGAGAAGATGATCTGTCTTGATCATCACAGCTGTTTATCGCTGAGGCGGAAGTTGGCAGTTTATCAGGATCCTTAGTAATACTTGAGGAACTGAGTTTCTTTGAAGATGAGTTTGAAACTTGAAGTTTATCGATCTCTTTACTAAGACTTGAAGAACTCCCGACTTTTTGTTTATTCAATAGAGATGATGTGACAGATTGAAGTTTTTCAAAATCCTTGCTAAGACTAGAAGAGCTGCTAACTTTTTGTTTGTTTGATAAAGAAGTCGAAGATGTTTTTAGCTTTTCCGAATCCTTACTCAGACTTAAAGAACTTCCAGTTTTCTGTTTTTTCAGAGATGAGATTGAAGTACGAAGTCTCTCAGAAACCTTACCTAAACTAGAAGAACTCGCTGACTTAACTACATTCTTGTTGAGACTTGCTGTAGAGGTTTGAACATCGTTGTCCAAGTTGCACAAAGAAATGACGGAAGTTTGCACTTCTTTAGATAAGTTATTAATGTTATACAGAGTATAAGTGGAAGTTGGGGTTTTCTTGGAGTTTTTACGGCGTATCAGATTAAAAGTAGAGTTTTGAATTTTTTCTGGGTCTCTTGTAAAAGTAAAAGATGTAGATCTTCCTCTAATACGGTCCGAGGATGAGGCAGGGTCTTCTGAAGCAGCCCTAGAGGGCCCAACTTTTAATTTCATATCTCTAGGGAGTGAGGAAGACTTGGACCTCTCTATTTTTGAACATGAAGCTAGAGGATCGCCGTTGTTATTTTGCGGAGTGACGGCCGTAGATTCGACTGACTTAGGTTTCTTCTTTCGGAACGAAAGTGATCTTATAAGCTTTCCAAAACCCATTGTAGAACAGATTATTAAGCACTGATTTCACTCTCTTAGGAAATTCCTCCTCTGTTGTAACGTATACCGGTGACGGGTTTCTTTTACCGTTTATATCAGTTATCAATTTTAAACAACGCTCAAGTTAACCAGCTAGAAAAGACTCAAGAACAACAAAAAGTTGCCAACTACAATTTAAAGTAACGAGGACTAGAGTTACGAACACACACACACACACACACACACAACTAGTGACAAGCACACTTCCCCACCAACCATCCCAGTATAGGATGACAAGTGCGATTTGTAAATCCTTCCCACGTGGCACGTAAAGATCGGTATGAAAGTTGCGTTCTTAGATCATTCAACTGTTGTAATACAAACCATACTGTCCAGTAGTAACAAAATACTTCAACACTTTTTGTTATAAATTATTTGAGTATACTCCTGTAATTTATAGGAGCTGTAAATAATATTATTCTAATGAGGAGAGTGATCTGATCGCTAGATGACACGGTGCTTATTGTACCAATCCTGGTAGTGTAGACTATGTGGTTACTGTGACATGCTATATCTTGTACACTATATTATAGATATCACTATACCACGTGCTCTGTCACGTGCTCTGTCACGTGCTCTGTCATATCAGTAGATTTATTGGACCACTCAAGTTTAATCAGGACTAGACACTAGTGGAACTCATGATGGATAATAACGATTTAGAATAGTATTCTAACTACATATTAGAAGTTGTCAGTACTCCTGTTTCTAGATTTATGGCTGGAAGCAGTATATGGTAGAATGACTGATGATGCTTATGACGTGGGTAAGGTCTACGAATTAGAAGGAAAGTTTATATCAACTCCAGGTTTAAGAAACGTATGAGCCAATCATGGTCGTAAGAGGATCTGAGAGGATCATTGTTCTTTCTTTTGTAAATTAGCAAATTGTCGCTGTCAGATCTAAGGATGATTTCCTGGTTAAAGTGTCGGAGTGAAAGTAAATGAGAAGTCAAAGTGAAGGAAGGAAGTGATGGAAGTTGGTGTGAGAGAGTAATTATACTGATTATGGAAATGATAAAAGTGGAAGTAAAAGTGAAATTAAGAGTGGAAATGATAATTTAAACTTGGTAGTGATTCTGAGTGGAGTTGGGTTAAAAACATATAAGAGATACGATGATTCAACTTGTAGAAGCTTTCAATAAACATGTGTTAATCGTCGTCAGCTGAATGTGATGTGGTGGAAAATGCTTATATGTGATTGAGTGGTGTCAGGGATGGAGGGTGGGGGAGCTGTGGGTGGGAAAGTGAAAATTACAGTACAATGTCAATAAAAATTTAGTCTTCTGTTGAGGTTGAGAAGGAAATGCCAGATGGTCTGGACTTTAAGGATTTGGCAATTTTAGGAAGAATGGGGTCCGAGAGGGAACTACATTTGGGTGCGCGGTCTGTTCTGTTCATAGCTGGTTGTCGTATTTGTATAGCTGCGTGTTGTGTGAGGTCAAGTTGGGAGCGTGAGGTGAGGGATTTGAGGACTTCGATGTTGTTCCAGGAGATGGTGTGGCCGGTGGTCAGGGCATGATGTGCAGGGGCTGATTTGATTCTGTCTGTGGATTCGTCGATGGCGTTGTTGAGTCTGTAACATCGTTCGTGTTCTTTCATGCGGTGGACCAAGGGTCTGTAGGTCTGTCCGGCGTATTTGGAGGGGCACTGTGAGCAGGAAATTTCGTAGATGGTGTTGGGAGTGAGGTGAGTAGGGGGTATGGTCTTCGTTTTGGTGAGGAGGTTGCGGAGGGAGGTAGCAGAGGAGTGGGTGACTTTGATGTCGTGTTGTCCGAGTATCTTGGAGATGGGTTTGGATAGGGAGGGATGGAAAGGAAGAGAAACACTAAGGGCATGTTCACGGGTCTGGTAGTGATTGTGGAAGTGACAGAGAAAGTGATACTTGTTATTGTTAAAGTAGAAACAAACAGGTTATGCATGGTGGTGAAAGAGAAACATGTGAAAATTACGAGAAGAATTGACAATTGAAATGAGAGAAGAATTGCACGAGAAAGTAGAAAGGGAAGACAAACAAAATCGGAAGAAATCCGATATACGTACCACGTCTTCTGCAGACATAGTCCCACAAAATCAAAACTATATCGAAACTATTCAACTACTATAGTACAAAACACTACGACACAACTACAATATAACAAACTTAGTCGAGAAAAAGCAGAAAGTAAGATCCCTCAATACGTGTGTGCAGCAAAATACTGTGCATTGTGCATTTAGTTGCATGCCGAGCACTTCCACCAATCCGGCTCCAGCAACAGAATTACGTGCACATCTCCGTCCAATCAGCTTGCCAGAAAACGGTCACGTGATTTAAGCAACACAGCTTTTTGTGTAGATCAGAGCAAAACTGATTGTCAAAAATACAAAACTTTATCAATACATGTTAGATTCAAATTCTATCTCAACTGCTTGCTTGCGATTGGACTCCGTGGATCACATGATGGGTGTTGCTATTCCGATTGGTCGCAGAAACATTTAGATAATATTCCTCATTACGATTCTCCATGGATAATATTCGTATCTATAAACAAAAACCTTGGGTAACGCAGGAGAAATTGTCCTAAAACTTGCAGGTTTTTAGCTCTTATCTGCAGGTGGCACTAACACGTCAAAACTTTGTTATCATTCGTGCACGTGAAAGGGCAGCAGCGCGCTAAAACTAAAAACATTTCAATTGTAGATTTGTTATACTTTTAAGCGGCATTCTATCACTATCTCGATTGTTTATTGTTGAATGGTCCAACAATGCTTGCGAAAACGTCAATAACCGTTCATTTAGTGGTTCACTTAACTATAAGAATCGACTAAATTTAGACTAAATATTGGAGACACTTTGTTTTTTCTCATGACGTTTACTAAAGTTGCTCGTGAGGACTAACACGGTAGGTGCTAAGTAGACCCTGGCAGTAGGAGGGAAGCTGGCAGCCGTTTAAATGTTTCCCATGTCGTCATTTTGCACGTTACGGCTGGGGTGGGTCATTGTGGAATGTGGGGGTGGGTCATAGGGCCAAAAATGAAAGCTTTTTTGGAATTTCCTGGGAGATCTAAGCCCTAAGCCCTAGAACCCACGGTTTCATTGTGTCATGACTACTAAGTACTAGTAAACCTGATGTTTAACCAGGACGACCTTTAATAAGGGGTAAGATTCTTGAAACGTTGACGAAAATCAAGAATCAAATCTGAGTATCTAACTATAGGTTGATTAAAGTTATCAAATCTTTAGAATAGAGTACGGAGCTGTTCAAAAAAGACTTTAAAACTATTAAAAAGATTCAGCACACAAATATTCACCACTTATTCACCTTAAGATACTTGACAGCGACTGTAGCAATGAGAGCTGTCTCTGTTGGAGTATCAGGACCTTCTTTCTGAACCCACTTTCCAGCAGGACGATCTGGTTTAGGACCGACCGTCATCTCTTGTCTATCACCATGACAACCATCGTCTCCACCAACCTCACAAATCACATCACTGTGGCCGGGAAACCGAGATATAAAGGTACGGCATACTGATACTTGCGAAACAAAATGCACTACGTAATGCATTAACAACAACACTGAACACTAATCTCGAGTCGTGTGTATCAAGGTATTTGAGGTATTTTAACTAAGGACCAAATGTGTTGGTATCAGGTAACCCTGACTAACATAAGGGAGTTAAAACTATGAATGGGATGGTTTAAAACTATTAGCAGTGGTGCCAGACGAAAATGCGACAAAATCATTTAATTTAAATTTGATTAGAAAAAGGCACTGCAAGGTCTGATCAATGAACGAGAATGATGTAAAAAGGGTCAGAAGTATTGAATATCAAGGGGAATCTGTTGGCACAGTTGCTATGCTGGTTTACTATAACTTGGAACGAATCCCACTATATCACCATGGTAACGGAAGCTAATTTTGGATCGAATTCACGAGGAATTTGAAATCCTAGCACCTGCAGCATGCACTTCATTCGATTGAGAAAAGATTTGGTATTGGATCAATACTATCGGCAATGATAGATCTGATAGATCAATTACTGATAAAATGTGATTTGGAACAGTGATTGAATTTTATGAGACGTCAAATGGTAAATTGTGGTAATGTCATGTATTATGACCATTTAGTCAGTTAGTGGTTCTAAACATATTCTTTTGCAGTCGATTTTGTGATTGTGATTTATTCAATTTATTCAATTTTAATGTGCATGGTTCAAGTGTCACATATTTAATAACCTAAAATGAATTAGCAAGTGTAAATGTTGTCCACCATTATTTTCGCTCACTGTGAACAAATCGATGAAATCTAGCTTAGCTGCATATTTGGAATTTACTGAGCTAGAAAACTTTACTGATCTAGATAACGACCTTCACCGATCCAAGGGTAATAAAATGGATCGGTATTAAAGCCAGTGAGGCGAAGGAACGTAGCCGGTGAAGGTTACACGGGGTTCATAAACGGAGTAATCTGAAATTTAACAAAACGGGAAAATGTTTCATCCTCGAATTTTCTTTCTTCAGGGCGGTCCTTTGTCTAAATAAAATGTCTAGAAATAAGTTTGAATAAAATCGTCATTATAAATCTCACTCACCTTATTCTGCAGTTTAGTTGACAGTGTAGTTTGTTTCTGCGTGTTCTCCTGCAATGCCCTCAACTTCTGTTCGTACCCGGCATGTTCGTCCTCTATCTTGTGTCGCAACTCTTGACACTGTTTGTGCAAATCCTCCTTTTCTGGGTCCCATTGCATGTCACGTGATATGTTACCCTGGTAACGTGGCGTGTTAATAGTCACGTGGTAATGCGTTACCATGGTAACGGGGCGTTTTATCAGTCACGTGGTAAACTGGTAATGTGTTACCATGGTAACGGGGCGTTTTATCAGTATGATATGTTATCCTGGTCGCTGTGGAGCATTGCATGCAACACGGCTCCACCATCTGATAAAACAATACCCAAGTCAGTTACTTGGGTAGAATATATATGGATATAACTTTGAAATTAATCTCACAAGGAGAGAGCTTTTAAAGCCAAGCCTATCAAATCAGTCACTTGAAGTTCAAAGCTAAATCCCTCGAGATATCCATCATATATCTTACATGCAATTTCACACCTCAAAGAAATGCACACATTTCATAAAATCCATAATGATCACGTGGAATGTATTGACTGCTAACCACACTGTAAATTAGATGGAAGCACAGGTCATGTTATGTGCACGATAAGATAATATAATACCACGTTAGACAATACGTCCAACCTGGCCTGGTAAAACAGGCTGGTACTTGGGAAAGTAGTAAATTAATTTATTAGTACCCTGATTTCTGGGTCACAAATATCTGGCTCACTTCAAAGTTCTAGCTGGGACATTAAGAGTTAGATGGTACAGTACCTGGTATTTGTTGTAGAAGCTTGGAGCGAAGCTGCTGGGAGTACGAGTACTATCCCGGGTAGGACTGAAAGTTGTGTCTCTAGCTGTGTGACGACTGTGGTCACTTTGTGGTATTTCCGATATTTCGTGCAGGTCTGCAGCCAGGCTTCTCTGTTGGGGGAGGTTAGGTGAGAAACACATGTCTTTTAATCATCGAGCCTCGAGGGTACAACTACAGTAAACTGAAAGGAAGCCTCACAACTCACAAGATGGTCTACATTTTAAAAACAATATACAAATTTTCAGGGTTACATAAACACAGAGAGAAATAATGTAGAATTATTTTGTACAATAATACGAAAGGCATGAAATTATCAAGCATGCTTTTACGATTTACGACATTGAATAAATATCAACATTCAAGACGAATGATATCTATGAATCTAAGATCTTCTGATTCCAAAAGCTTGAATTAAAACCCGATACGATTTTCCAGACCATAAATTAAAACAAATAGAACACAAAATTGAGCACAGACTGACATGTAACATAGTGTGACATGTAACATAGTGTGACATGTAACATAGTGTGACATGTAACATAGTGTGACATGTAACATAGTGTGACATGTAACATAGTGTGACATGTAACATAGTGTGACATGTAACATAGTGTGACATGTACGTAGTGTCACCTCTAGCTCAGCGCTAGCATTGCTAGGACTAGCATCACTACGGCTAGCACTGCTCGACACCAGTTCAGTCTCAGTATCATCTTCAGAGGGTAGCATCTCCTCCTCATCTGCCTCAGAACCAGGCAAAACCTGGACTCTGATGGTTACATGAACACACAGAGCAACAAACCATGAAACACGTAGAATTATTTTATACAATAATGCGAAAGGCATCTTGTAACTTACACGGAATGAGCAAGCATGCTTTTACGATTTACGCCTACGACACTGAATAACTATCAAGATTCAAGACGAATGATGTCTAAAGCTCGGATTAAAACCCAACGCGAATTTCCAGATCGTAAATTAAAACAAATAGAACAGTTTGCAAACTAAACATTAATTAAACACAAAATTGAGCACAGAGTGACATGTAACATAGTGTGACATGTAACATAGTGTCACCTCTAGCTCAGCGCTAGCATTGCTACGGCTAGCATTGCTCGACACCGGTTCAGTCGCAGTGTCATGTTCAGAGGGTAGCATCTCCTCCTCATCTGCCTCAGAATCAGGCAACACCTGGACTCTGATGGGCACATCCTCATCCTCCTACCGGATACCAGTTAAAACTACAACTACAGTTAACAGTTAACATCCTTCTCTCGTCAGTTAAATTCAATTACAATTCTTGGGCTCTAATAGCAAGACGAGGGAAATAATAATCTTCGGATTAAATATTTGATATAATGAAGCCTAATGAATACAATATCATACTGGTAGATATGATTGCATGATACAAATAAGCACGTACCCTAACATCAGTAATAGAGCCAGCGTCCTCATCAGTGTCTGAATACAGTGCACTGTTAACAATCCTCCTCATTTCTGGCTTAGTGCCATCATCTGTGTCCCCTGGTCTCTGGAGAAGACAACAGTGAAATTATGAATCTATACTACATCGATATAGCTCTTCAGCTCTGAAAGATTCTCAATTTTTATGACACCTTATTGATAGTTCAAGGTAAGTATAGTAATCCTTTTATTCAAACCTTTTTGGGCGAGTGACACTTATGACATATCTTGAATGATCTAAAGCAGTGTGGTGAGTGAGTGGTCTTGTTATTGGGAGATAACATGGGATGAGTTTTTTTCTGAAGGTGAATTATTACATCGTTAGTATCAAAGTTGTAATTCTAAATTTGCATGTGGTCAATTGATGGAATTATGATCTTATTATTGTTAACTTTAATTTCATAACAGATCTTAGAAGTTATAACTACCTTCATTGGACGGGGCTGTGGAGAAGCCATACTCCTAGGCTGAGTAATGACAGTTTCAGTTAATGAAATATGAGATACCCATAAAAACGATGATGTAATGTAAAAATATCGATTTACTTGAAGTTTATGAGATTTAAAAAATTAAAACCACTCTGTGTCTGAGTGCTTCCAAGTTGGTAGAATACTGCAAGAGAAAAAACAAAACTCAATCTTTCAGGATGGATTTAAGGTCTACCCAACCTTACCATTAACCAAGATAGTGGGGAAAAAAGGGGCTTTTTTCCCCTTTGTTCAAAAAACCGACCTTCTTTTTTACAAAAACTATTTGTTGAGACGCCAAAAGATTTTGGCATGGAGCCGGGGGCGTCATGTGGTAACACCACTGACCAAGAACAGGTTGAACATCAAGTCTAAAGGGATAACAGAAATTTGTAGAACTTGTGGTGTCTTATTTTAAAAGACCATACGTTCTACTAAATTTTACATTAGAGAATTGAAAAAATACTGCTCTGGAGAAAGGTCACGATAAATATGGTCCTGTGATTTTCAAGCTTTCGAGCCTTCTTAAATAACTCCTTTTGCATTGGTTCATAAAATTGTTCAGCTTACTGGTCTCTATGAAATGGCTGCTTTACAGGACAGCTACCATGGGGCGGTGATGTAGCTGTATCTTTGACAATTTGTAATAGGAATATTGAGGGATTGCATCCGCCACGTGAGCTTAAAGGATTTAATCAAGTCTATGCAACCCCACGATTTTAAAGGAAAAATGAGTCAAATGTTTACTTTGCAATATAAGTTATTAGTTACATTGGAGTGTATTTAAAAAACATATATATATATTGAATTATAATTTATGTTATTATGTGTTTGCTAACATCATACGTTACAGAAAACTCATATCAAGTAATAATTTGTATCTAAACAAACTATAAATATAAGCCCGTTATTAGTGCAATTTAAACGACTAGTCAGATCCCCAAAGCTGCGAACACTTACTATACAAATTTAATGAGTTCGCTTGAATTGTGCGGCGGCCGACGCGACGGCCTATTTTTGTCCTTTAATTGCAAACTCAGAGCCGTACAATTGTGAAATTGCAAGCTAATTGAACCAAAAAAACAATTTAAACTTGACTGACACGCCTATGATGTCAATCCTTCACAGCTTGTATAGGACGCAGCGACCTATTGGTGAATCATGATCATCACGTTTTGTGCATTGTGGTTGCAATAGACATAAATATTATATGATGCGTGGCACAGCACAATAATTAATAATTTGCATTGCCAATTGCGCTACCGGCTACAAAAACCATAAAACCAAATTTGTACAGAAAAGTTAAAACAGCACTGCATTATTTTGTAAAATGCACCAATTAATTGTGTGTTTAATATGCAAAGAATTGTCCAAAGCAAATACTTATCATTGATACACGTTGTAACCCCTTTTCGCGCGCGCGACGCGCGGCGGCATCCACAATCCGGCCACAAAAATAAAAATTAAATATTGCCGGCCTTAGCGTGCACAAAATAAGCTTACAGCGTACGTACACCGTGTATTAAATGTATAAAATTGTTCATGTGATAATTTACAAACTTATAGCAAATAAAAATTAAATGTGCATATTGTTAAATATATTGTTGAGCATAAAATATTTATGTATCACGTCGTGACCCCCCCGGTCGTTTCATTTTATCGTCCTGATCCTGACGATATACAGGGGGAGCCGCGCACTCGTGCGCGGCAAGTCATGCAACGTATGACAAATATTTGTAGCGCGATGCGTTTATGTGCCGCGCCGCGCACTTAATGAGGCTTCTCACGCTAGATCGGCAAAATGCGCTATTGTGCCGCGCCTCGAGCTGCGATGAATTGACATCGTCAATTAAGATAAAGATATTTCACATGCACACAGCACAGGTAACAGTAATACTGACGTCAATACATATAAGTACATACATAAATATGTAAACTAATAAATCCTTGTATCACGTTGTGACCCCACTGTTGTTTTACTATAGAGTTTCTACGATACAGGGGGAGCCACGCACTCGTGCGCGGCGGGTCAAACAACGCGAACGTATGACAAATAAATCCAATAGAAACTTTTAAACATAATGATATCTTGTCTAAACCCAGTACAGCTGCTAAATAACATAAAAACTTTGTTGTAACTTGTATGAAAAGCATTAATTTTTTTCCTGTATAATATAAAATTATTCAAACAATATACACATAATATAGCAATGACCCTATATAAAAAGAAAAAACTAAACCCTTCAACAACTCAAAGTTTTGAAAATCACCCTTGGCCTTGCGGCTCCAAGTTCAAATCTAGACTGTCTATATTGACAAAGTTCTTTCTTGCCCCTCTGTCTCCCCGGAGAGAAATCACCGTTGTTCTCAAGATTTCAAACCGAAGGCGCTTCCTAATATATCCCACAGCATCTGCATACCTTTGACCTGTGTGGTACTCCATCTTACTAGCCAGCTTCTTCACTAGTCTTTCAGCTTCACCACCCATTCCACCAGACGTCGAGAAAACTAACGGTGTGAAGCTTCCTTTCTCCACTTCGAGAACTCTTGCGTTGTAACATCGTTTTTTCTCATTTTCATGAAACTGGTACATTGCAGGGATCGATTTGCTTGCATTGGAGGGGGCTGGGGCATGGAATACCCTTACATCAAAATATGCCCTCTCTGAAGCATTCCAAATCGATCTTGCAGAAATGTCCAGCCTAGCTTGGTCTCCTAGGACTGTTCCCCTTGGCAACTCTAGACCATCAACTGGAAGAAGAACTGGCTCAGTCTGCACATCCTTGCATTTCACAGTTCTCATTAGTTCTGCAAAGGTGTCTCTCAACGAGTTGTGCCGCAGTGACACATATCCACCAAGTTTGCAGATGAGCGCATGGTTTGCTGAATATTTCTGGCCACACGAACATGTTTTAGGGCAATCCTTTAGGTTCAGGTTATATCTGAGCGCTATTGCGTCTGAGAACTGTTGTTTATTCATCAGATATCCATAATCTTTTAAAGGTAGTGCTGTTAACCAAGCACTTGCCCCTTTCTCAGCAGCTAGCTGGAACATCAACTTTGCCAGTGGTGTTGACTCAAGCTCCTGGCGTATTTCTGCTTGTTTTTGTTGATAGAAGAGATTTCGTTCCATCGTTATTTCGGTCTTCACTTCTTTGCTGTGTTTCCAGTCCTCTGTGTAGTTGTCTACCTGCTTGAGAATGGCTTCTTTTAGAAAAGCATTAATACATTTAACCTTTTATTTGTAATGCAATGCATTCCTACGCCGCGCATCTTGCCTTGCTCTATCCAGAGCTCTTGAGCTTGCAGTGGCGCAAGCCCGCCTCCCGTGAAAACAAGCGCGCCCGCAGTGGCGCGAAAGCACATGGTTAGGTGAACATCTTTCATGCACTTGAAGAATATAATTAAAGCATTAAATCGAGCGCCTCTTAAACAATGATTAATCTAAATCCACTACAACTTATGGGACATGTTTTATCATGTTTCTGATCAGAAGATTGTTTATCATAAATCATGATCGAATTTCTTTTTAATATTTTAGAACCTGTTATTCTAAAACGTGGAAGAACACTTAACTGTAATGTCATGTTATTTAAGAAAATAATAAACAAAACCCGAGTTGCACCAAGGCCAGGTCTGTTGGACAATATTTGTTGTTTCACTGAATCGTTAGCAGCATTGAGCAGCAGTGAGTAGCAGTTAGCAGCAGTGAGCAGCATTGAGCAGCAGTGAGCAGCAATAGCGGCAGTTTCTTTGCACTATAGTCCTCCTGTGAAAAATTCAATCCAGGAAACAAATTCTTAGCTGTTTCAACTGCAATAGTTGGTGCACCTTTCAAAAGCAAGAGCCACTTTGGTCTACTTGCTGTGATGTGAGGTGTTCCAGCTACATGGGTTGGGCCCGTCGCAATTAAACTTAAACAGATTCATCCTTTAATGACTAATATTGATCGTACCAGATATATTATTATTAGGGCTGTGATATTCACCTGTATGATCGATGGATTGGGCCTCATGACCTACAGAGAGAGACTGGATAACTTGAAGCTCACAACCTTGCTTGAACGTAGGGTCCGTGGGGATCTCATTGAGATGTTCAAGATCCAGGAAGGCTTTGTGGATTATGGGTCCGATTTATTTGGTCGTGCTGGTAGAACTGTCTCTGCTAGGTCAAAGCCACACAGATTTACCACAAACGAGACTGACTTCTATGCCCAAAGGGTCTTGCGCTACTGGAACAGTCTACCACCACTTGTGAAAGCTAGTGAGTCGGTTACTGGATTCAAAAGGGGATTAGATGCCTTTCGGCTTCATGGATATCAGGCAAATAAGCTTGGCCACCACTGGGAACTGTCATATGACATCTTTGATAGGACAGATGTGTCTGTGCCTAATAGGAATAGTTATACATAAGTTATATGACAGAGAATCCAATGGTAGCTAAGAGGAAGAAGGTTAATACCAAAGGTATTTAGTTGAATTTTATTTTAGTTTATAATTATATGGTTTCAAACGTAATTTGTTCATTTTCTGTGAATTTATTTTTTGAGATGCCCAGAGAGGCATTATTTATAATGTTATGTTATGTTATGATATTGTAATGTGATATTGTATCCAGTTGTCCACTGGGTATTAATTTGTCAATGAAAACCCAGTGGACAACTAGATGCTATTTGTCGATTTTTCCCACCAATTGTGCTGTGTTATGATAGGAAGAAATCCATCTAGAAAGGCTAGATGGCAATAGTGAAACAAATATTTAGTAATTAACAAAGATTTTATTTTATATCCACAATTAGTACATACCGAAAAACTTTTTCGATGAATATTTAGATTGACTGTCTTTCACAACTGTTCACACACAATGTTCATGACACTTTACTTTCTAGGCTTACTGATGGCCTAATATAAGGAAATCCAAATATTTTGCCCAAAATCGACTTATTGTGTTAAAAACATAATCTTGTGTACTTAATATGTGAAGAGTTCTTAAAATGGACTAGATTTAATTTTAGTGTTAATATAGGAGTGTGCCCATCCGTGTAAGCATGATTGTGTTTTTCATCTTAGATCAAAATTAATTAAACCAATCATTAAACCATTATTATTAGTATTTAAACAACTAATTGATCAAATTCATACCAGGTAACATTAGCCATACATGCTCCATGCCAAACGATATATGTGACAGCCTGCTTGAATGGCTGAGTACTTTTGATGCTGTTAACAATGTATCCTACAAACCAAAAGAATTGACTGATGGCTTGGTCCTTTCCTCCGTTCTCAAAGAGGTCAGTCAAAATTTCTTGTCATATTTTATTCATCAAAACCATACAATTTTCTCTTGTGCCCAAAAACCTTAAACATTTTGACATCATATCGTCTTATTTTCAGATAGCTCCTGGTTGGTTTGATCTGAGTAATTCCCTGAAAGAGAACATCAATGATAACTGGCGGCTCAAAGTGAGCAATCTCAGAAAAATAAAGAATGCTATCCTTGACTATTATCAGGAGGTTCTTGAGCTTGACCTGGTCCAATTCCCCATGCCAGATTGTGGGGAGATCGGGGAGCATGCCGAAGAAGAACATTTAGGTAACTAGTCTGATAGATTGTTATCCAGTTGAATACAAGGTCTAGAATTTGAATTCTGGACTGTGCATTATAAATAATTGATAATTATTAGAATGCTTATTGAGTTTGTTCCCAGGTCGGTTATTGCAGCTCGTATTGGGGTGTGCAGTTCACTGTGATGAGAAGGAAGAGTACATCAAGAAGATTATGGGACTTGAGGAGCATGTTCAAACTGGCGTCATGCAGTGCATTCAGGTGAGGAATGTGAAGAATGCGCATTGTGACTTATTGTTTATATTCTGTATTGCAATTATCTCAACATTCAGTCCACTTAATTTTTGTAAATTATTTGTGGAAATTATTGCCATAAACTTGGTTTGAATTTATAGTCTTGTGACCTATGTTACCGTGTTTGATTGGATCATTGAAAAAATCTCCTCACATGACGATATTTTGCAGGAGTTGATGGAGTATGAAATGCCTCGAAACATGGGTAATATGGACTACGAGAAAAAGTTAGAACTTTCGAATAATGAATTAGAAAGTTCCCAAAGAGAGGTAAGAAATTAAATATCTGTTTGTAGTTGAATATTCTTCAGTAATTTAAGGAGAAAAACTATAGATCAATTCGATTTAGTCTAAATTACTGGTTTTACTCTTTATAATATAAATTATTGAGAACTGATTGTATATTCTTCATTTTCAAGATTGTCGAATTATTTGAGACTTATCTTATAACTTATAACAGGATTATGATTATGAGGGATATGAATCATATGAGAATAATTCTTATGACGAACACGAACAAATCGACCTTGAGAAAGTATGAGATTTGTTGCAAGAAAATCATTTACACACATTCTTGGCCTTTCAGTCTCGTTTGGGCGCATAGAATGAGAAAACTTATCTTCAACTTGGGATGTAGATATTATTTACGTGTAGAATCTTACTCTCTGGGAATCTCTAATCTGAATTCATATTTTTTGGATTTTGCATCAATAACTTATTTTTGGGAATAAAGCCCATCTTTACTATATAATAGAGCTCAGGTTCGATTGATATGAGTTGGGCTATCAATATTTTGTAGTATAAGTCGGTTTCATATTGTATGTAAACACTGTCTCATAAATATGTTATCATGAAGATATAATTAGGTTTAATTAAAACAGTGAAATTTTGGTATTTCACTGTATCATGCATGGTGGTTAGCTAAGCATGTCTCCTTATATTTTAAACAGCCGAGTTTGGGATCGAGTTTTGGGAACTGTCAGTCCAAACTCAAGCAGCTATTTCTCGTTTTTTGTTTGGTTTGGAAATGAACCTTTTATAAATCAAAATTGATAATATTACCCACATTGATCATCACTCCATCAATATTGGTACAGTATTTAACTCAATTGTAAAGAATGAAACTTGAATCAAGCACGCCACTTCTCATGTACCGTGGAGAGATAATTGTAACCCAAACTGAAATCCTATGCTCTTCCAAACAAAGAGGGGTCTAAGCGGGGACATTGTGCACCTACTAGTACTGTTAAAAATTGTAGATACGAATATATTGTTCCGAAACAGCAGTGAGCGTGTCACTTGAAACAGCAAGTAACTTTTCCTTGTACAGGTAGAGGAATTCAGGCAGAAGATCCATGATCTTGAGATCCAGATACAGATCTTACAGGAATCAAACGATACTTTACACGACGAAAATGAGCGGTTGGAACTTAAATGTAAAACCGATCAGAGTTCCATGAGCCATATAATTCAGAGGTGAGAATTTTTATGATTGTTTTTGGAATTGTTCTCAGATTTTCAAAACAAGTATCCAACAAATTCTCTGCTGCATAATCCCTCTAAATTTTTCACTTACGTGAAAGCTTGTCCATGTTTGACTGTGGACAAGAATCTTCAATAAAATAATAAATTTCTTAGTATTATCCTAATGTCAGTATTATCCTCAGGGTGTCAATAAGGTACATCAGATTTCATAGATTTCATAGATTCATAGATTTTAAGACAGATTTTAAGACAGATTTTAAGACAGATTTTAAGACAGGTTTTAAGACAGATTTTGGCTATTTTTTATAGAAAGATCAGATTTTCAGATTTTTCGACAAAGAAATCAAAAATTGCTTGAAACAGGCCAAAAAGGGTAAAAAACAGAATTTTCGCCATACCTTTTTTCCAAAATCGGAAATATTCATAGATTTCATAGATTTCATAGATTTCATAGATTTCGTAGATTTCATAGATTTCATAGATTTCATAGATTTCATAGATTTCATAGATTTCAAAGATTTCATAGATTTCATAGATTTCATAGATTTATTATTTCTTAGTATTATCCTTATTATTAATACTATTATCCTTATTTCAGTCAAGGTCCAAACGAACAAGGAAATGTCTCACAGCTTATTGAGGATTTCCACGCAGAGCGGTACCAACTTGAACTTGCCAGGGATGATTACAAGATCAAATGTGAATCTTTTGAGGTGAGGAAATGCTAATAGTAATAATATGAGTGTTGAGTATCATGTTGCTCTTGGTCGTATTTGAAATATATCGTTATACTGATTCAGAAGAAATTCAGCAGGACTGTAACTTTACTGACTTTAAAAACATTTTTTAATGACTACTCATGTCTAATAACTCTTCACTTTCAGTCAGAGATAACAGAATTAACAGAGAGATGTATGGAGTTGCAAGAACAAGCTGCTAACAGCAAACGTCTCAAAGATGAAGTTGATGAGCTCAAATACAGACTTACTAACACAGGTCAGCGATAAGGATTATTACTGTCAATTTGAATTACAGTATTAATGCTTTTCATACGAAGTTACAACGAAGTCTTCATGTTATGTATCCTGGGTTTGGACAGGATATGCCCGTTTAAAATATTTCCATTACGTTCCATTACATAATACTCAATAAATGTAATAGATTTGTAGTGTGTAATTAATTTAAATTAATGTTATCAATATAATGTATATATATATAAGCTCCAATACAGACTTATTTACACAGGTCAGTGATAAGGATTACTTAAACTTTGAATTACAGTATTAATGCTTTTCATGCAAACAAGTGAAAACGAATCTTTTACATGTCATGTATCCTGGTTTTGGACAGGATATGCCCGCTTAAAATACTTCCATCGCGTTACATTACATAATTTTCTCAATAAATGTAATAGATTTGTAGTGTTGTAATTAGTTTATCGGTATATTACTATGATTTACGTATTGTGTTTACTGAAAAATTGAAGTCTGAAGACTGTAGCTCTGGTAGTTCGGCCACTTGAAATTGGTGTATCATATTGCAAGACGGTAAATTCAAATCGGTCCTTTACTTCTTAATATATATAGTGGGTGTCCAGTGTAGAATGCTTTATGCAATGCATATCCATGTGAATTTTTTGTGTCACTATTTTCGGGTGGATCTGATTTATGGGACATGGCTCCTGCGGTTAAGAAAACCTAATCTGTGCGATTTTTAGTGTCTGAACTCTTACACAAGTTATTGCACAATTTCAAGTATCGTTGTAATGTTGTATATTTTATGCTGTAGGGACTGTTCATATTATGTGTGGTTTTAACCGACATTCAATTCGGACGAATTTATTTCATTAACTCTCTGATTACTAATTAATTACTAATTAATTACTAATTAATTACTAATAGTCCTCTAATTTTGCAGCGAAGTTAGAAGTTCAACTAGAGAGTTACAAGAAGAAGATCGAGGAAATCCCGGATCTTCGTAATCAGATCAGAACTCTGGAGTCTCAGATTGATAGTTACGTTATGGAAAAGGTAAATTAGCTGTTTTCTTTAATATTAGTTGTTTTGTTTACTTTTTGTAATGTTTTGTGTTTAAAACGTTTGGCTACGATCTGAAATTTCCACATGATTCAATGTGATATCTAATAATTGTCAATTGTGTCATAAATGTCTATTTGTGACAGGGACAAAAGGAAATCGCGGTATCGCGAATTTTGGCCAAAATAATCGCGAAATCCTTTTGTCCCTGATTTGTGAGCGTGTTATGAGTGTAACAAAGTTCCAAGCCGCTTGATCTACATTTGACTTTAATTTCCTGGAAAAGCTATTTTCATCTTTTTCCATTCTTAATGCAATATCGAGCATAAATGAAAGCCTAATTTTAAAATATTGAGCTCCACAAACCAAGAAAATGTAAACTTATCATCAATAACCTCTCCCAAAATCAACACTAAATTAAAAACCCTGAGCTCATTCTACAGCAAACTTGAGACTTGATACCCTTGACGCATGTCACTTGTGGCAGGGCACTATTGTCTCAAACACTAAAGACTTGCTCTATTATTACCACTCTGATTAAGTTATACAGTAGTGGAGTGTGTAGTAAGTCACAGAATACGGGACTTTATAATAACAAATAAATCCCTTTTGTTGTTACAATGAAAACGGAAAAATATAAATATAAATATAAAAAATGAGCAGTTTGTTACAATATCAGGTCTGAAGATATTCACATAACATTATTGAATAATTACTCTGTCTACACACATAATCCAAGATACAACACGTTATCCCACACTTCACACAAACAGCCACCCACCACTGCTTGCTGCTCCTTTTAAATCTAAACCACCACTCCCGACATCTTGGCATGAGAATCTACTTGTCAATGTGCTCGATTGTTCTATTTAAATGTCTTTATTATAATAGCCGTGCAGAACAGCAGATACGGGTTATATTTCCAGTGATGGATATTTAACCAGGGTCCAGTCTCGTCATTTTATGATAAGCGTATTGGGTTGAACGGAGATAAGCGACAGTGTTTAAATTTTGAGGGGTTTGGTTAATAAAGTTAACTCGTGGGTTTAAGTTTGGAACCACATACGTAGAGGAACATTTTAGCCACATCATTCACGAAGTTGGCAATTCGTTTTTATATATGATCATCGTGCGGTGTGTGGTTGACAAATCTATACTTATATGATAGAATCTAACGCTCAATCTTCTACCGTTATAAAATGAGCATTTCCCCCCACAGGTGTCGTTAGAGGATGAGAATAAGAGGCACACTCTGTACAAGAACCAGCTGGAGAAATACAAAGTTGACATCAGGAGATTACAGGTTTGTCAAAAGCGGACGTTAGTCTGGTGATGTATCTGCTAAATCCGTTTCTTTTTTCACGCCGGAAGTGGTATTGTTGAGTGGGAACCAGCTTTTTTTGACGAAAGGCTGAAGCCCCCCGTTAAGGCTAAGCATGTGGTAGTACGAACTATGAACAATACGGAATTCTGTTTCACTAGTGTTGGTCTGAATTATATTTACCGCTTGCTTTCAAGTCTTGGTTTTAGATTTTGTAGTTATTTCTTATCAGGAAGAGTTGTTATCAGAGACGAAACGAGCTGATAAATTCTCGATAGAAGCTGAAAAGTACAAAGCTAAGTGCGAAGCCACAGAGAACGATAACTTCAACTTATTACAAGGTCTGTTCAAGCTGGCGTCTTAAACTTTATTATCAGCGAAATATACACCTTGAAGATTATTATTTCCTCAATTACTCAACTACCCCGGCCTTACCAAACCATTTTGTTACACTTTCTAATAGTTAATACCATTACCAATGTATTGAAACAGTATTACCTCTGAGAGTTTCTAAGATTCAAATATCTATCTTTCAGAGCGATCGAGTCTCAAGGAAGCAGTAGAGAACATGCAATACAGTAACAACCGTGACAATAGTTTGGGTGGTACAAACAGCTTCATTGAGCAAAACAACCATTCTGGTTAGTTCCTGTATCTTTAGTTTTAAACTATTTTCTTAGCTTTTCACAAAGTTTACCACTTTTTAGTGACACCATTGTATTGTACTCCCGTTGGACATTAATCAATAATGATTAGCGTTCTTGTCAGGATCAGTGCCGCCTCAAACAAAGGAAATGATAGCGCGACTCCAGAAGGACAACGAGAACTTAAAAATGCAGGTACTCGAAAAAGGAATAACTGACACTGATCTGGAGTTGCTGAGAGACGAACTAAAAGACAGCAAGGAGTACCAACAGAAAGTACAGGAGGATCTGAGAGTAGCTAATCAGAAGATAGCCATGATGGAGAGCGATATCAAGATAGGATCTGGAAACACTGCTACTCCCACACGCACTCAGGTACTATACACGTACTCAGGTACACGTACTCAGGTACACGTACTCAGGTACACTTACTCAGGTACACGTACTCAGGTACACGTACTCAAGTACACGTACTCAGGTACACGTACTCAGGTACACGTACTCAGGTACACGTACTCAGGTACACGTACTCAGGTACACGTACTCAGGTACACGTACTCAGGTACACGTACTCAGGTACACGTACTCAGGTACACGTACTCAGGTACACGTACTCAGGTACACGTACTCAGGTACACGTACTCAGGTACACGTACTCAGGTACACGTACTCAGGTACACGTACTCAGGTACACGTACTCAGGTACTCAGGTACACGTACTCAGGTACACGTACTCAGGTACACGTACTCAGGTACACGTACTCAGGTACACGTACTCAGGTACACGTACTCAGGTACACGTACTCAGGTACACGTACTCAGGTACACGTACTCAGGTACACGTACTCAGGTACACGTACTCAGGTACACGTACTCAGGTACACGTACTCAGGTACACGTACTCAGGTACACGTACTCAGGTACACGTACTCAGGTACACGTACTCAGGTACACGTACTCAGGTACACGTACTCAGGTACACGTACTCAGGTACATGTTTATTATCTGGCAGGTTGGAGGAGGAGGGGATCATTATCTTTCAAAGGTTTCAGAATTGTAATAACGATATTATTTTTCATTTAAGTGTTTCATGAAATAAAGATCATGTGAATGTCGTGCTGAGCAACTTTGAACACAAGGAAATATCGAACAATTTGGTTCATATTAAAGTAATGTTACTTCAATGGTTTAACCTAGCTAAATCGATTCTCGTGTAGAATTCTAATCTTTCTGTGCCTATGTGAACACAAAGGCGCTTTCCTGAGTGAAAATGATGAAACGACGTCTTGCAGTCTCCGAAAGTTGACTTACCGTGACACTGCCAATACTTTTTGGCTCTTTGTGTTTTCACTATCATTAAACAATACATCGCCAAATACTTTGAGATGTCTTAATATAACTCAGATACAGATTATTTACAATGCACGTTAGACATCTGGTGAACGCTATACCAGGTCATAAAATAGTTATAGCTAAAGTTGCTTCTAATGATAGTGATATTTTTAAGTGGATTCGATTGAAGAGCGACTATTTGAAACCCCACACCATGACTTTTAGCTAGCACGGAGAAATTCAAATAAATATTTTCCCGCCATTAGCAAATACAGGAGCTTTTCTTAATTTTAGAGACAATATTGTGTGATTACTGAACATTCCAGACCTAAATGGTTTATTTAAAGCCCTTTTATTACGGGATAATGGCATTTAGTTACATCACCATACTTATAGAAATTTGTAGAACTGATAGCTAATTTCATACGATTCTTTATATGCTATATTATTATATTAATAATGATTAAATAATCACGATTATACTAAGTATGTTTAACAAATACTGGGTTAGTCCTCCCCCTTTCTTTTCTTAAATATAAAATTAAAATAATCCAAAAACTCACGCATATACAGTATTCATTATGTTTATATTATTATTCATTGTGTTTATATTATCTAATCTAAATGATTCCCACAGGAGCTGATACAACTGCAGGACAATCTGGTCAGTGAGAAATCCAAACATCGGGATACAGTAGAAATGTTAGGTTAGTAAAGTTATAGTAACCTGTTGTGTTGCGTTGCTAGGTTACTGAATACACAAACTGTGTATTTACTATAGTTTCCTGGCTTGCTTTGATGATCGTTTAGTTAAATCATTTGTAGTTGTACCTATGAAACAGACAAATCGGGTTGTAAACATCGGTTTAAACCTTAATACGTGCCTTACATTTGTATGGTTACATATGTAATATCATTCAAGCGTTTCCAATTTCCAATCCATCATACTATTCCCCATTTAACCTTTATTTGCTTCCCCCATACATAACATACACTAATCTTAATCGCTCCTTAAGTTGTCCTATCTCTATCAAAACTCCCCGCCTCAGAAAAGAAGAATAACCGTATAAAGGAGCTGGAACCCCGGGTAAAATCAGCCGCTGAAGCTATCAACAGTCTGAAGGACATCATCAAGAAGAAGGATGACGAGATCAAGACCCAAGAGGAGAAATATAAACGATTCCTGGGCAAGGCTAAACAGGTTAGTCGTGTATAATGACGTTATTATATTTTATTACATAATTATTAGCTCCGTTCAATATTATATTAGATCTGTTGTTCACACGGTTATTACACTGTAGTGTAGACTGGATGTTTAGAAGTCAACTAAGTGAGCCTTGCTTTAGTATTTCATGTCAGAAGGTGCTATATTTTACCGTTTAACTCTTATGTTTACACTTAGGGTGATTCATGGAATATAACATTGTTCACTGAAATTAGGTTGAGATTCAGTATTCATTGTGGGTGCCTAGAAATTGAGGATTTGGTATGATCACTGGGAGAGTTTCAGGCTGTTTTAGAACTTAGATGAATTGGGTATTGAACAGTTGCCCCGTACCTGATTCATGTAGGTGACTTAGAAAACGTTCCTCTCGTGGTTTTATTTGTAGGAAGAACATCAAATAGTTAAATACCTCCACAGTCCACGTAATATCTTTGTTTCAAAATTCAAATATTCTGTAAAAAGAGTGTGTGCAGTGATTATATTGACTAGAGAGACTAAAATAATTATTACCTATTTAATTCGCGTTTTTGACACCACTTGGGAGTCCAAATTTTGGTCACTAAAATTCTTATTCCTTGGCCATTTTTTAATTTTTTCATGCTGATTTGAAAAGCATAAAAGCATTTGACCCAGTCAAAAAAGTTTCAGTTGTATATCTTTTACGGTTTTTGCGGAAAGTCGCATTAAAGTTGATGCCGTGCCCCGTGGTGTCAGTAAAATGGCACGGATCCATATATATTTAAACTATTTTCACAACTACAATTAAATACATTTATTGAGGTATGATCCCGAGCCTCAAAGCTATGAAAAATGACAAGGCTGCAGGCCAAACGCCCAGCAGTGAAGAAGCAGAGAAAAAGATAAAGAAGCCCTCAGAAAAAGGTACTGTTAAAATAAAAAAACCTATACTAAAGATTAAAGATGTTTCTAAAGATGTTTCTAAAGATGTTTCTAAAGATGTTTCTAAGATTTTTCTAAAGATTTTTCTAAAGATTCTAAAGCCCCCCTAAAGAAAAGTGCCATTAACCCAAAAACAGTCCCCAAGTTTAATCTCAAAGGGCTGTGTTGTCGGTGTAAAAGTGATAACATGGCCTATGAGTCCATTTCTTGTCAGATATGTAAAGACGTTTTCCACGCATGTTGTAAGGATAAGGCTGGCACACTTATGCCCACGTCTATTTGTTCACGGACTTTCCTGACGAATATTTTGCCAGTAATTCACAAACACGGTAATACATATTCTCAAAGATATGGTGACTTTGGCTGGACATGTCCTAACTGTAAGAAAGCTCTCCTTGCAAAAACTGCTGTTAAAACTGCGGACTCAACTTGCAATACAAGCATGGACAGCACCAAGAGTGTGGCTAGCACCAAGAGTGTGGCTAGCACTGAAAGTGGGACTACTACCACTACTGATACAACTTCAAGCAATGGAGATGAGAAGGCATTGATTGAAACTTTGAGCAATTTTAAAGTAAGTTTACTGTCAAGTGTAGAAGAACTTATTTCCATCAAACTTAAATCACACATAGATTCTTTGCTCACAGAAGTACCAAATCTTACACGAAGATCCAGCACCCCTAGTAGTGCATCATCTATCCCTAGTAGTGCATCAGCCCTAGCCCTGCAAACACCTAGTTCTTTAATTGCTTCCCCAATGAAGACTACCAGTTCACTTTCATCTTCAAAGAGCTACAGTGCTGCGTTGTCTCCTGAATCGGCTATAGATAGCTCCACTAGTATAACTGCTACTGAGAACTACATAGAACTAACCAAGAAGGAAACTCCTATGCAAAAACTTCCCTCTGGCAATATCCATAATAATTCTCCTGATAATCATGTTATCGTCCTCAATGTAGAAGCTAGTAATACTAATCTTGAGGAAGCAGGGAAGCTAGCTAGTAAAGCCCTTGGTACAATACCCATGATCTTCTTGACCCCTAAACCAAAGACAGGCAAAATTGTTATCTCCTTCCCTTCAGAAGAAGATAGAGAGGATGGGAAAATAGCCCTCGCAAACTCATCAGCTGTAACTTCGTCCAAAATCACTGTTAATGATGCAAAGAAAATGTTCCCGAAAGTCACAGTTACGAATATCCCAAACAACTTAATCTCCCACATTGTCTCTGAAAATCTATCAGTTCCTGGATTTCGAGAAAAGGTTAAAACCTTTATGGAATTGAAGCTTCTGGAAAAGAATCAATATGTTAAAGATTTGGTGACTAAGCATGATAGAACATTTAAAGTTGTGTATGTCAATTATGGAAGAGACTACACTACTGTTGGGATTAAAGTGCCTCCTGACATAAGGCATTTCCTGTTAAACAATCAGTCCATTTACATAGGAAATTCCAGATGTAAAGTAGTTGATAGATTTGATCTTAAGCAGTGCTTCCGATGTCAGAAACTGGGACACATTTCATCTCAGTGCAACGAAACTGATGTTATTTGCATGTATTGTAGTGCATCACACATAACACGGGCTTGTCCCTACAAAGAGGTCAGAAGAAGTCACAGATGCACCAACTGCTCACACTCCACCTATGAATCATACAGAGAATCTTGTAACACCCATCACTCTGGTGCTGAAAACTGTCCCATAATAATGCTGGAGAAAGAGAGTCTTAGACAAAGAACAGAGTACTCAAAAAACATGTGAAGACTACGCTTCTCAACCTAAATGTCGGACTGTTTAACACGAGGTCACTATGTAATAAAACTGCACAAGTATTTGAGCAACTGTCTGACTCCAATATCAATGCCTGTTTCCTGACAGAAACTTGGCTACGTAAGGGAGATACGTCAAAAATAGCGGAAATTAAAGACCTAGGCTATAATATTGTTCACCAATCTAGAGCTGGTAGAGGAGGTGGTGTCGCTATTGCCTTTAAGAAAGATCTTAGCTTCAATAAACGCCCTACAAAGACCCATAAATCCTTTGAACATGTTGAGAGTGTGCTGAAGTCAAGTTCCAATGACCTTCTTCGTTTCTGCTGTGTCTATCGATCTTGTACGGCTAAAATGTCCAAAATGACAGACTTTTTACGGGAATTTGATGAATATCTTGACAGTCTAACTCACCTTCCAGGTAGACTGATCATTGCTGGAGACTTCAATATCCATGTCGAAGACCTCACTGATCCTGATACGATAAATTTTATCCATCTCATATCAAACTATGGCCTCATCCAGCATATTTCCAGTTCAACACACATCGGGGGTGGAATCTTAGACCTTGTTCTTACTAGAAGCAATGCGTGTGATATGTTGAACATAAAAGATATAGATGTAGCTAAAACAGTAACAACATCAGATCACTACTTCGTAAATTTCTCTATTGCCTTTCCTCACCACAAAGGAAGCAACAAAGAAGATATGGTGGGCAGAAAGATATCAGATATAGACATAAATCTTTTTAAGGAGGATCTGTTGCTATCTGACATAAATGACCCCAACAAGTTTATTGACTGCAACTCTGCCACGGAACTCTATAACAAAGAACTTCGCAGAATTCTTGATAAACATGCTCCCCTTATCTGTTTTAGCATTAATCCTGATCAAAGCAAGTGGGTGGACACAAAATGTCAAACTGCCAGAAGGAAACGAAGAAAAGCTGAACGTGACAACAGGAGACTTAAAACTGCAGATTCAAAATTAGACTATAAAAAAGCTGTTAAGCATGCCGAGGCAGTTATAAACACCACTAGACAGCTATACTATGAAAATCGTCTGCAAAGCTGTGAGGACAATAAAAAAGATACCTACAAAATAGTCAATCAGCTGATGGATCGGGACATATCTAAAAACTTGAAGCCTAATAACAAACCTGCTGAAACTCTATGTGAGGAGATGAAAGAGTTTTTCAATGATAAAGTGGAAAAGATTTACTCTGCCATTAACAATGATACTGCAGCTGACATTCTTCTTGACCACTCTGAACCATTTCAAGGTGAAGCCTGGAGCCAAAAACTTCTAATGCAGTGTTTTAATGAAGTTAAACCAATTGTGTCATTTATTATCAATGACTCACTTGTCACTGGAAAATTTCCGTCAGTCCTAAAGAGTGCTCTTGTCAGACCAGCCATCAAAGATGATAAAGGAGATGTCAATAGCTTCAACAACTATAGACCGATTAGTAACTTACCTTTCCTCTCGAAACTCATTGAAAAGAGCGTCCAGAAACAGATGACCAAACATCTTGACTATCACAATCTTCATGCTGAGCATCAAAGTGGTTATAGGTCAAATCATAGCTGCGAAACTGCGACCCTTACCATCTACAATGATCTTCTTTGTATCAGTGACATGAAAAGTAAGGTTATCCTCCTCCTTTTGGATCTCAGTGCTGCTTTTGATACTGTAAATCATCACTTGCTCCTAAAAAAACTAAAAAAGGACTTTGGTTTTGAAGGTACTGTTCTCGAATGGTTTACATCATACCTTAATAACAGATCCTTCACAGTAACTATTGATAATTCAAGATCAAAGAGATGCTTCCTTAGAATTGGAGTCCCGCAAGGTTCAATTCTAGGTCCAATTCTGTTTATACTTTACACAAAGGAGCTCAATCAGATCGCAAAGAGACATGGATTTAACATCCACATGTACGCAGATGACACTCAACTGTACATTGAGTTTAACCCACTATTTCGAGATCTCTCAACAATCGAAGAGAGAATAACAAATTGTTTTGAAGATATTAAGACCTGGATGACCCAAAATAAACTCAAACTGAACCAAAACAAAACAGAAGCTCTTGTAGTACAGACCAAGAACAGTTACTCTTCATGTCCAGTCGATTCAATACAACTTGACAATGCAGCTGACCCTGTGGATGCATCCCGCACAGTGAAAAGTTTAGGTGTCCTATTTGATCAATGCCTAACATTTGAAGACCAAATAAATTCAATTATCAGTTGCTGCAACATCCATCTGAGAAACCTTCGAGTTATAGGCTCAAAGCTTAACTATGATCT